GTATACACATATCAGCTTTTATTACTATAATTCACGCTAAGTTAACATGTTAAAATATGCTGAAATAAATAAAAAGATGAGCGTAGAAAATTTTTGTGGTTAAAGGAAAGAATTATATTATATTTTAAAACAATAAAATTAAAGATATACTCGTTACTCGTATAATGAATTTTAGTAAAAACAAAACCTGACATTTTGGGACACCCAACCCCTTTCTCTTATATGTATACGCTATTTAAAATATGTATATATGCTATTATAATGATTAGCCGATCCTGTGCAGCATTACCCGTGACAAATTAAATGTCCGAGGAATTATCCTTTTTTAGTTCTTAAATGTCGTTAAATGTAAAATACACACATTTTTAACACATTTATTTGAGTAATTTTGTTTAGATTTAAATACAGGTCTATAATAATTATAAATCTGTTTATCCTATTATAATAGTTATTTTATTTTCTGTAACCAATAACAACTTTATTTCTATTCATCAAATAAAATCCCTGGGTGAATCTATCTTTAAAATGAGAAATTTTACAGAGACATCCCTTCCCTGTCCCTGCAGACACATCACTTAAGATCTAAATTATTTAAGTTTTTAAGTATTTATTGTATTATCATAATAACTATTTAATAATAGAAAATTATATATTTTTAATAAAAAAACGTTATAAACAACATATGTTGCCATAATTTAATTGCCGATCACATAATTTATGAGAATGTACAGTTTTTCTATAATCATGTCAAAACTCTGTAATTTTTTATTTTGTAAGTTCTGACGAGTAAACCTCAATAATAACGAAAATAATCGAATGTATTCCACTTATTTAATATATTCAAATGGTAAATATGAATAAATAAAAACAATAATAATATTATTTATTAAATATTTTTATTTCTACAACGATACTTTTTTATGTAAGAAAAAAATGTATTCCTTTAACTACAATACTGTGGTAATTTCTACTCTTGATAAATGAGCAAGAGTGTAGGTTTTTGATAACTTTCACTATTGCTTAACAGTAATGTACCATCTGGGTTTAAATATACACGATAAAATGTTTGGGGAGCACCCCTATCCTCTTGCAAAATGCGGGTCGTAAATGTCAACTCGGGGTATTATACAAAATTGTCGTAAATTAGGGGTAGAATCTAAGGGGAAGTACGCAACAACAAAAAAGTCGTAAAAATATACGTTCACTGAGCACACACAAGGAACTTCCTGCTTCGTCAATGCATAATCGAGGATACTTTAATCTATAGCTGATTGGGTAAAAGAATAAAAGGAGACTTTTACATTTCAAAAATGCGTTTTTTCATTCTTTCAAATTTTAGTAGATACAAGGATCCAAATATCCAAATAATCAATAGTCAATAAACTATTAAAATAGTGACATATTTCATGAGTAGATCCAAAATCGTAAAGTAAAGAAATTCTTCCGACGTAAAATAATAATGATTCTCATACAGCCATATATCTATAATATTACCTAATGGCTAATAAAATTAATTTCTAAACAATGATAAACTATAACCATCACATTTTATTTCATCAAATTGGCTATATCAAATAAAAACATAAATTTAACATTTAAAAATTGTTAGGTATTATATTATTATTATTTGTTAACAAATTATAAGTAATAACAATTAACATTTAACAAAGTAAAATTCTACTGATGGTAGTAATAAGTTTAATTATTTTTGTATAGCACAATTTATAATAATTAAATAAAATATTACGTTAAAGGATACATAATATTATCTAAACACCTATGAATTATTTTATACCCATCATATATTAAAAACTATGGAAATTATTTATTATACATCATCATGTTTCATAGATCGTAGCCTCCACTATATATTATATGTGTTTTTTGTACTAACTACTTACCTATATATTTAATATGCATATAATATGTTTATAATCTATGCAGTAAAGTGTGACTAAAATATAGTTTGTTCTCTATAATAATTTCAGTGGGTAGTCATTATTATTTCTTAGTCGTAGACCAACCAACTACATAATGTATGTTTATAAAAATACAATTATTGTTAAATATTTTGATTTATTTATTTTTATCAGTATATATACTTTGATGTTTTCAGTGGCGTAACTATAAAATTCTAGCCCGTGTGCAATATTATTTAATGGCCCCTAAAAATCGTTATATGAATAAAATTAGACAATTACACGTATATATAAAATGTATAATTATATTATGTATTATAATATTTATAATTCATAAAAAATATCATAATTAATTAAATTATATTTATACATTAAATAAATGACATAATAATATGTATTTTTATACTCTTCGTAATATAAAAGTTTATGGTTTTATCGTAGTATATTATTTATTATAAAATAGTTTAAATTTATTAACAAAATATTAAAATGCTAGGGCTCCCTTTTGGACCGTCTAGGCCCCGGGCCCCGGTGCAATGCACACCTATGCAACCATGTAGTTACGCCATTGGATGTTTTAAATATTTATTAATTTCTATAAAATATTTAGAATTTAGATACTTACTGGCTACTAGAGACAATAAAATAGAATACATAATATCTTTTAATTTAATTAAATATTAATTATATTCTTAATATAATACAAAACCGGAAAACCTTAAGTCAATCAATAACCATTGATAAGACTTTAGTTTATTTTTCATAAATCTACAGTCTACTTATAAGTTAAAATTATAATAACTAAAATATTAAATTATGTTCACTTAATTTTATATTTTCTATTTTATTAAATAATTAAATAATAAGAAATAACGCTAATAAATACAGTATTACTTAATTATTTAGATTACCTGCATAAATATATATTTAATAAGAACAATTTCGTCAATATGGCAGCACTAAAATATTAAGTAATAAGTCGGTATTTAAGGTTAGGTACTCTAACTACAAAAGTACTTAACAATACATTTTACTAAAAAATTGGTTTATTAAACCAATAAACCAATATGCACGTATATTACTATTTGTATATTTATATACAAAACCATAAAATATATCTAGTACACAAATATATAATAATTCAATTTTTTTAATTTAAGTAACTATTGGGCGTTTATGATAAATTATTATCATATAGTTCTCGTAAATCTATACTAAATACATATTAAGTACTTAAATATTTGTTGAAATAGAGAGATAAATGACAACTGTAATAAGTTACAACACTTACAGCTCATAGCAATTTTAATTTATAAGTTAAAATTTAATAAATTATAACATAACAAATGAAAAAAATCCAATCCATTACAGTAGGTATAATGGTTATACCTCAAATATACCATCAAAAAAAAAGAACATAAAATTTACCTGTTTAAAAATAACTACCTATATATAATATATATATATAAATCACCCTAAAGTAATAATTATTACGTTTATATAATCGAATAATTAATTAAATAAATAAGTAATGTGTTTATTTATTTTTAAATTAATACATAGTACTTATGACATTCTGTCTAGTTCGATTATTTGTTTTTAGTTTATTTTTTTTTTTAACTTCTTTAGTTATTGTAGAAGTAAAGACTACTTTTCCACTTTGAAGTGGAGGATCTAAAAATATATGTGACTGTGCAATTACGTCTTCATTATCGACACGAGGATACGGAAGCTAAAATTTTTCAAAGAATAACGGTAGTATTAAAGAAAATATATACTCTGAGTGACAAAAATGGTGGAAGATCGCGTAATAACATATCCTTACCATTTTTGTCAAACATAACTTGTTATAAAACGCATAATTAATTTTACTTTGAATAATCGAAATATGGCATTAATGTTGCAACGGCTTATAAAATGTATTTCTTTCTCATCTAAAGTTCTTTGAGACACAACTTTTAATACATTTTTCCATAACTCGTCTACAACACCATAAATAAAATTGTAGTCATCGTCGTCTAAGTTAAACCTATATAAATAAACAACAGATTTTAAAAAAGATAATGGTATTTTTTTCGAAGTCAAAATCCACTCTCACCTTATAAATTACATCATTAATTAATAGATATTTACATAATGTACATACGTAATATAGTTATTAGAAACTATAGGTATATGTTTACAACAATATCACAAATAAAAAAATATTATTTAAAATTAATAATAATTTTTCGGTTTATTCCATAATCTAAAAATAATTAGGTATTTATTATTTATTAACTTTATTTGTATATAAGATATAAATTACAATTTTTAATCTTCATTTATCTATTTATTGTTTATGATCTCAAATTATTTGATTTTAAACACTAAACAATTTAAACGCGTGATTGCCGTGGTAATTATTTTTTATTTAAATGTATTAATATAACAACTATTACTATGTTAAATAATGTTCTAAAATTAATAATTGTTATATTCTAGCAGGCAGCGGCAATTCTTAACCTGTGGTCCGCGGCCACAAATAAAAAAAAAATTATCATCACTTATGTGTTCTATTTATCTATTTTTTGTAATGGATAACATGCCTAGCACGGCGATAACAAACCAGTACTGATTTCCAGAACAATTTATAATAATTTATAAATATATTATACTTTGGCCTTGATTCTAAAAGCGATTTTACAAAAATTTCAGTTAAATTTGTAGGTATATTACCAAAATAATACTAATAATGTTACCAATTAATAAGAATTAACTATTAAGTACCGTTGGGCATTTTTTCAATTTGGTTTTTGTATTACAATATTTTACCGTTAACTGATTTTAAATTTAAAAACCCGCCTAACTTAATAAATAAATGTCTTGTTAATTATATTACCTATATAACACAATTTTCAAAAAAACGGTTGTAAAATGTAAAAGTAACCTCTTTGGGATTTTTTAGTGATAACGCATTTAGGTCACAGATAGCGACAATGCGACATCTTTTAAATTTGTATACATCGTCAATTTTAATTTTTAACGGATCGATAATAAAATTGATTTATTATTTAACAATAATTTAGATTTTAAGTAGATCATACATATTCAGAATTAACAATATATTAAGACTTAATTATTATTGTATGATAGGCTATTAATTATAAAATTACGGTTGTTACATTAATAAGAAGAAAAATCAATGTGTTCAATCAGAGATTTTTTCCCTATTGAATACAGTAAATTTCAGTATTTTACTAAAATTTATCGTTATAATACTTAAATCGATTTATGACTGATTTAATTCTTTATTTTTTTTAAGGATCCAGTGGAGTCAAACCAAAGAAAAATTTTATTCAAGAGAATAAGAGATATGTGACTAAATTAGCAAAAAGTACTCAATCGTCAAAAGAAAATATAAATTCATCAAATAAATTACCATGCACTAATATTCAGGTACACTGTTAGTCTATTAATTAAGTGTTAAAAAACTTATTAAAATGTGTTGAATTTAATATTAGCATTACAACAAGGTAAATTTTAACTTTTAAGTATGAAAAAAGTATCATTAAAAACAATAAAGATAAATTTATAATAAAGATATTATAGAATTATTTTATACAACTTATAATTATTGGTACCTTTATTTATAGTAGGTATTAATAGGTTAGATTAGATAATTATTAATTGGTAATATGCAGAACACATATATTATAGAGTATCATAAGATTAATAAGTAATATTAGTATATTTGAATTTATAATTGATTTACTCTACAACATTTATACTAAATTTATGGATATTAAAATGCTACATCCACTTGTGTTGTCTTTGCCAATCATATTACATAGCAAATTTGTGTTCAGTAGAACCAATTTTGCGTTATTAGTGTATTAGACCTATTATCAAACTTAGGAGGTAAAAACATAGTTTGTAATATCTTATCGATTTTTTATATTTAATTTTGAAGAGAATTATGAGTATTTTACATACTCGTAACTAACTTATAGATTAAAATATCATAAATAACTGACAAGGTATCTATTTTATTTTATTTTTTTTTCATCATAAAATATACAATCTGTAAACTAGTTTTACAATAAAAATATATGCTACAAAAGAATATAACTATTTGACACAAATTAATAGATAAAAGGGGTAGGTCAGAGACTATACTTTATTTCTATATTCTGACAAGAAATAACGCATAATTATCTTACCTTAGTAATTCTTCTTAAAAAAAAGTATTCATTATACGTTTAACCATCAATTAAAATACAAATATAACTTATAATTATTAATTTAATGTATGGATATTTGAATATATTTTAATAAACCTTTAATTTTTCAATAAATTAAAATTTTAAAAGTATTTAATTTAATTTAATATGCTGACATTAATGATGATTCATATTTCATACTATTTTAAATGATAATTTTTTTTTAATTAATGTATATCTTACCTGTTTATATTATTAATTACAGACATTTTTATTTTATCATTCTTTTTCTAACTCAAAGTAATGTTGCACTATTTAATTTATATATTTGTTTACTTTTGTATCATGGCAACAATAAAATAAGTGTATTTATCTTTTATAAAATAAAAATTGATTGAAGTCTTTTTGATTCTTGAATCTGGGTGATGTCATATCAATAATATTATAAACCATGACAACCAGTAACATTTCTTTTATTCTAGACTAATATTATTTATTTTTAATGTATAGATGAATATTAATAAAAACAATAAATTACCGTATATTTAGGTATATATTATGTGGATAATAGAGTTAATAGTATAAGTAACAGGCTATGAATAAAATTCAGTCCAAAAAAACTTTTAAATTTATTTCATCCTGGATATTTTATTTTTTTGTCAGGTAAAAATACATGCTTATTTTGAAATCTCATGAAACATGTCTCGAATTAGTTATTACTAGGGCTCGGATTTTGTAGCAAAATAAATCCTTATAAAAGCATTTTAAGTAGCCAAAAAAAGCATTTATTAATTTAATTCTAAAAAAGCAAATTTCAATTACACATAAAATTAAATATTAAAAAAGGAATTCACAACCACATATTTAGTCAAGTTACTTTCATTGAAACTCATTCTATTGGGTGCTAATATATTTTTATATATAGAAAAAGACCTTTCTACGTCAACCGATGTAATCGGTGCATATTTCATATAAACTAAATCATTTGAATCATACTGTTCCACATTTACGTTTAGTGCAGTGCCATTATGAATACTATTGACTTTTTGAAGTTCTGCCCATCCATTATTTTTTGAAAACTATATCGGCACAATAACGACAGTTATTTTATCAGTCATATATTTATTACTAGTTTTTTCACTGTTTTATAATTTCTGGTAATACTAATATAGTCCAAGACGTATAATATACATAGAAATAAGCTAAGTTTTCAAGATAAATATATAAAAATCAAGAAAAAATAACCAAATAGGGGAAAAGCAATAAAAAGCAGATTTTGTGGAAAAAAATTAAAAAAAAAAGTTCACTTCATTAAAATCAAAACGATTCAAAACGTATTTATATAAAAGAATTATCTTTCTATCACACTTCCCTCAAAAGAAGCATTTGCTACAAAATCCGAGCCCTAGTTATTACCAAAAAAAAAATTACTCATATTTTTAATTTAATAAAAATATAATATTATATTATATTCTAAAATAATGTACATAATTTTTTATCTAATAAATTATTTTTATTTTCAATAATGTTTTCAACATCAATATTATTCAGTATATTTTTCTCTACAGTTATAAGCAAATATGTATAAATAGCTTGCTAACCACTGGAAAAATTCTGATATCTTAAAATACTGAATACATTACTATATAATAAAATAATTAAGAGAAATAAAACATTGTCATCTTATATTAGGAGGTATATTTTAAAACCAATATTAATTTGCTGCTAACAAATTTTGAAGTTACTGTAACAGACAAGTTACGACAATAAAAGTAGTTAGTAATAGAAAGAAAATACTAAGAAACCTATAATTCTTATCAATTAAATAAAAAAATTTTAAAAGAAAATATGTGTATATCTATATTATGTATTTACCTACTATCTGTAAATTCTTTCGACTATCAAATAACTACATCTTTTGAATATTTTTAACTATTTAATTAATATTATTCATGATAAATTTGTTTGAAGTTTGAAATTTTTTTATACATCATTTAATTTTATTTATTAATATATACTATGTATATTAAATATTTTCAGAATTTTAAATTGAGACAAGGACCAAATAAAGAAACCATCCCAGAAAACTCGAAAAAAATAATCAAATCTATAGATTTAGATAAAATTGATGCCAGTATTAGATCAATTCGTTCTGCAATAGCTCAAACTAAGATTACTCAAAATAAATTAGGAATCAAAAATGTCGAACAATTTTCTTTGGCTTTTAAAGATCAAGGTACTTAAGTTACAACACTTAATCATATAATTAGTTATTCCACAATGGTATAATACTAAACACTTTTATATAAATTAACTTTATTAACATAAAAATTATGTTTTACATTTTTAAAACTCCATTTATTAATTTATTTTTAAATTAAATTATACATCATATCAATATTTTTACTTATTAAGCTTTATTTGTGTTATTTTTATTTTGCATAAATGTAATGTAATCAAAATTAACTAAATTTTCCACAATTATTATTCAACTTTTAACTATTTTTTTAAGATAATAACCAATACTTTTTACTATAGCTACGCAAACAGTTAATTTACATGAAATAGAAGATAAAATAAAAGATAACAGTAACAAATACCCAACATCAGAAACTTCAGATATGGCTAAAATTATTCAAACAAAACATGTTAACACCATTTCTGTGCAAACTGAAAGTTCTGAATCAGAATATTCTAATTGTACGTCTAAAAAGAATGTAAAGTCTATACATCAACATGATGACATAAATTCTAAAAAGAACCAACCAATTTCAGTTAAACTTAAAGAAAACATAATAAGTCATCATAAACCTGGAGAGATACCAAAGTACAATTAATCTCTAAATATTTTTTTTATAATTTCTGTAATACTTTATTATTTTTAATAGATACCTGAAAGATAGAAAAGCACTGAAAGAAAAAAATGAGAAAGAAACGCAAAAAAAATTGGCAATTAGACGTGAATTGGGTATTGATGATCCAGCATGTCCTCCTGGTCATATATTATTACCAGAAACTGAGCGTCTGGACCATCTAACTAAAATAAAAAAAAGGTAACGTTTTAAATTTTCCATAGTTAATTTAATGGTTTATTGTTTAACACACTTGATTTATATAGATTACGATCAATTGATTATGAAATTAAATATGTTGCCCATCAGTTCAGATTCATATAAAATGAAAGAAAAACGTAGACAAATAGAAAAAGAATTGGATCAAGTGCAATTAGGTATTAAACTATTTTCTAAGGAGAAATTATACGTTAAGATTAATCAAAATATGGCTGCTTTTTACAAATAGTTAAAGCTATTTCAAATTAATAAAGCCAATAAATAATTGTATTATATTATTGCTTTTCAAAACATTAACTGTGATTTGAACTGTCAAATTAATTCTAAGAAATATATGTTAGTTACTATCTGTTTATTTTCTACCGCTTACTATTGTTATTTAATTGTTTAGAAATTCTGCTGTGACTTATATTAATTTGACAATATATAATTTTTACATACACATATGAACTTTGATTTTTATATTAAATTAATATTTTGTTTTAAATCATTTTACAAAACATTGTAACTTTTAATTAAAATAATATCCGATTTCTGTGAGTAGAAAACTAATTGTTATTCAGTGTCATATTTGTTTCTTTATTAAATAATAAAATATTGTTTTCTATTTTTACACCAAAGTGAGAAAGCTATAAAATGTAATACATAAAAAAGACTATAAGTGATTATCATTTTTTTTTCTTTGTTTATGAAAAGAATTCATATTCAAACATTTTTTCAATGTATAATAGGTATGAATGCTAACAAAATTCCTATTTCATTTTTAGTCAAAAATTAAATCTCAAATATGTTTAAATGTTTATAATATTTGTCAACATTAACAAATAGTATTTTAAATTTCATACTTATAAAATGAAATTAAATAAATATAACTTTTAGTTAAATTTTGACCTAGTGGCATGTCAATATTACTGATAATATCTATATTATAAATTAGCATACATAAGTAATAGTATTAAACCAAAAAATAAAATATAAAGATTTACTTATCTGAGCATTTAAAAAAATTAATTAACTAGGACTTATAATTTCCAACTGTTCTATTTCTAGTTGAAATTAACAACCAGACACAAGAAATTCGTAACTGAATACAAAAAAATTTAAAGAAAATTATATTGATGATTTGGCTTATTAAAAAGTGGGCCATTTTCTTATTAAACTAACAGTAATTTAAATAAATGGAATTTACTAAATAGAAATACCATGATTGTAATATTATTTTGATAGTCTGTATCTGTTATACTCATTATAAATATTTACTATCATTGCCATGTATACCACACATTTATTCTTTTTTTTATTATTTAAGCTTTGTGTTTACAATTAGTTTCTTGTTCTATTTAATGGTTCATAAATTAAAGGAACTGAAAGAAAAATAAAGAATATACAATTTACATGTAATAAAGTTAATTATATTTTATATAAACGTTAATCCACAGCAACCTTATCATTTTTTCTCTTTATCGTCAGTGTTCATTTTTTTACATTTGATCTCCTTTACTTGAAGACCTACAATAAACATTTGTATAAATTAATGTATTCTTCAACTTTAATAATATTTAATTCAAATGTCTTACCAGGTGGCAATGATTGTTTAAGTTTCTCTGCCTTTTCCTTGTCTGTGATTACTAAGGTGTAAAGGAAACGAGAACAACGAACCTTGAATTTAACATTTTCAATGTTCTTCTTAATCTTGACAGCTAATAAAACAATATAAACATTAATATTATACAATTTAACTCATAAAAATAAAAGTATCTCTTAAGCATATAATTACATTTGGCATCCTTCCTTCTGGCCTTCAGGAGGAAATCTTTGATTTCTTTAATTTCTTGTGGCTGAAAAGGAAATATAATTAATTAATAAAATAATAAACAATATTTCAATATTAACATTAAAATAACTAAACAATGTATAGAATAATACAAAATTCTAATTTCACACAAACTGTATAGTTTTGTTTTCTTAAGGATAAGGTAGAATATTTATGCTATTAGATTTTAATTTAGTATCAGAACAAATCATTCTTCACAATTTTTCACCAAGATTAATGAAACAAAACCAATGTTCAACATTTGGTTTTTGTAACCTATGTACTTATTTCTTTTGAATGCAAACCTAAACAATTTTTATTTCAGAATTACGTCCCTTAATATACAATCACTAAAAAGATCAGTACGTAAGATTCATCATTAAATTATTCTTAATATCATATATCAAAACAAGATTTTAATGTCTTCAGAATTACGTCCCTTAATATACAATCACTTAAATGATCAGTACGTAAGATTCATCATTTTATATTCTCAATATTATACATTTCCATGAATTTGTGATTTCTTCAGAATTACGTCCCTTAATATACAATCACTAAAATGATCAGTATGTAAGATTCATCATTAAATAAAACTTAATATTACATATTTATATGATTTTATGTTTTCAGAATTACGTCCCTTAATATACAATCACCAAGATTATCAGTTAGTAAGGTTCATCATTATTTAAAATAACATAAATCAAGTATACATATTGATAATTCTAGATTGAAATGAAGAAATGTTTACTACAGATTATTAATATTTTTATCTATCAAAATGGTATTAACAATTATTTTTAATAATAATTTTCAAACATAAATTATAAATATAGAAGCACTAAAAAAATAATAGAATTACTACAAAAATATTTATTTTTTGAACTATCAAATTAAATAATTAAAGAAAATATTACAATAACGCATAGTATTAAAAGTTTTTCGCCAGATATTGTGAATAAGATGCACATCTAACGATCAAACTAGAATACATACACGTAATGTTAACTAAAATATCAATAAAATGCCAATCATTAATAGCATTTAGGGCAAAAAACCATGTGGTGAGCTGGAGGAATGGAGGTTAGGCTATGCGAGTATCACATAGAACGGCAACTTCAAACATAATTAAGATGAAAAACTTCAATTTTTTATAGTTATACATTAAAAACGCTTACCATGATTTTTTAGAGGTTGATGTCACGAAAAAAGTTAAGGAAGTTTGTTTTCAGACAAAACTTATAATATGTAATAAAAATCACGGAACACATCAATCGAACGAGATGGAAAGAAAACAAAATGCAACGCGGACTTCAGTGATATCAAAACTATCGAACAAGGAGATAACTTATCGATGTTTGAAGGAGTTGTTTAAATATTTAATTTCATGACCATTGCTCAGTCTAAAAATTATTTTATACATTTCAATAAAATTCAAGAAATTTTATTTAATTTTAGATGTAAAATAATATGTTATTGATTTTTCTTCAATTAAATATCTCGTCATTACCCATATAAAATCGTTAAACATCGATTAAAATGTACCAGCATAACCTCTAAAACCTAACCAGTGCTGACTGTTATTAAGAACTCAAATTAAAACACTTATATTATCATAAAAGTACAATATTTTCATGAAAAGAAATTCGAAATCTATCAATACGTAGTTAAATAGATATGTAACAACTTTACTCGTAAGTCGTAACCATTAAAAATGTTTGGTAATTTGTAACCATAAGAATAATAGGATTAAATGATTCAATGATGTAACAAGTCAAACATATCCGATACTATTTTTTTTTTTATATAATTGTCACTGTTGCCCGATACGTTCTATTTGTATATTCTACAATACGTACAGTACATTATTGTACCGTATGGAATATGAATACACTCTAGTTTCTTCCTTGAAAATATAGTGAAATAATTGTTAATACTCATTGATAATATTTAAAAACAGATAACAATTTAGGGTTTAACATTTATCCGAATATTAGATAGCTCGCAACAATCGTAAGTTTAATTCTAATGATGGATAAACATTTAGTAGATTTTGACTGGAAATTAAAGGTAAATCACTGAAATATAGTTGTTTATTTTATTACTTTATAATGAACGTTGATCTTTTTATGTGTCGTCACATGAAGTATGAAGTATTTGTTTCAACTGTTTTCATTACGTCCACATCGACCGTATACTTCTCGTTTTCTGAGTTTTGTGAATCCAGTTATTAGTTATAATCTGAAATCTCGACCAACACCAGTAATTATGAAACTTGAACACTCGCAATTCAATTTCATATTTTCTCCTCAACTCGCCACAGTTTTACAAGTTTTTGACAAGTATAAACACGAAATCAGACTATGTGGCGGTGCTGTACGCGATATTCTGTTAGGCAAAGCGCCTACTGATCTGGATTTCGCCACTACAGCTACTCCCGACGAAATGCTTCAAATGATGGCAAAAGAAAATATTAGAGTAGTTAATAAAGGGGGTTTTAAACACGGAACAGTAACTCCTCATGTTGATGGTGTTAATTTTGAAGTTACTACCCTAAGAATTGATGTTGTTACTGATGGCAGACATGCTGATGTTAAATACACCAAAGATTGGAAACTAGATGCAGGACGAAGAGATTTAACAATTAATTCCATGTTCTTAGGAATGGATGGTGTAGTATATGATTATTTTGATGGATATAAAGATTTAAAGACACGTCGTATAAGGTTTGTTGGTGATCCCAATGTGCGCATCACTGAGGATTATTTAAGAATTTTACGATACTTCAGATTTTATAGTCATTTGGCTTTGGGACCTAACACTCATGACGAAAATATAATTAAAGCAATACGAGAAAATGGCAGTGGACTCAAACAAATATCTGGTGAACGGATTTGGTCAGAACTTCGTAAAATGTTAGAAGGAAACCTTGGACCTGAGTTAATAATGACTATTCTAAGTTTAGAGTTAGGTCCATATATCGGTCTCCCTATGCAACCCGATACAAACGAGTTTGATAAAGTTGTTAATCAAACCATGGACCTAAAATTACAACCAATTACATTGCTAACAGCATTATTAAAAGATTCATATGATATGCATGAACTTGACAAGCGTTTAAGATTCCGGGTGTTTGAAAGGGACTTGGGATTGTTCATAATTGAAACTAGAAATGAAAAATGGACTCCAGACACTATTAAAAAGTATAAAATAAAAATTATACAAAATCAAACTAAACAAGCAGTAATGAAAGAGTATGTTGAACAGTTACTGATGTATAAAAATGAAAGAACCATTCTTGCAGAATTTGAAAAGTGGACACCTTTAAAGTTCCCTGTTACAGGAAATATGATTAAAAATTATGGTGTAAAAGATGGGAAGAAAATCGGATCAATTAAGATGAAACTTGTTGAATACTGGGCAGATAATGATTTTCAAACAGATGTTGAAGAATTATTAAATTTAATACCTAAAGCTGAAGAGGAATTAAGCCAAGTTTCAAAAACTTAGATAAATAGATTAACAAAACCTGGATATTTCCAATTCTTTTTTATGATGTAAATTTTATATGAAATAGCTTAAAAAATATTTATTGTTGATTATTTATTTCTGAAATTATTTCTTGTACAACTAGTGTTTACACTATACTGAATGAATATTTATTAATTAAAATAAAATAATTTAATTGATGTATAACATATAAAAATAAAAATGTAAATCCTTAATAATCAAAAATAAAATTATATTGAACTCATTATTTACCATTTTAAAAAGTACTCATATCTTAATGTTACATATTAAAGTTTATTCAACTTAATAATTTATTTTATTATTATTGATATACCTACGAATCCAAACTTAAATCATATTTTCAATTTTCATCATTCTTCAATTGGTTGTAGTGTTATTTTACATATTAACACACCTGTTTTTATTTAGGTTTGGAAATTTTATCAATGATACTGTCATAAACGAATTGGCACTTTAATTCTCGTAATCTACTTAGTTTTTTTAAGACTTAAACTATATATTCACTTTATAATTTATATACTATATGTAAATGGTTATGTATAATTACTACTTTATTTTGACTTGAGTTAGCTTATCCACACTTTCAAGTTAAATTGTGGCTATAACTATGTTGATATTTTTTCAATTAAAATGCTTAAAAAACACTTACATATAGTATCATTATAAATGGTTAACATGTTGCTGCACTTAAATTTAATATAATTGATTATATGACATATTTATATAAATTATCTACTGTGAATAAAATATTGTTATACATTATGTCAATTGTAGTTTAACCATATCTGAAATCAATTTTTTGAATATTATCTTTTTTTTTTTACATTTTTTAGTATATTATGGGCAGCAGTTCATTGAGCACATTGGAAGAACCATTACTTCAAGTTATATTGCATTTGAAGGATGGCCTCAGGTCAAATAACATAGCAAATCCAAAAGTATCTGAAAATGTCTTTTTGGAATTTTCTCAAGAAGAAATTTCATTATTTATAGATAAACTCAAACAGTCCTTATAGGTAACATTGTATAATAAATTTTAATATTATAAATACATTATTTATATAATTAAAATTCAACGTTTTGATATGGGTCATATAAATTCTATTCCTTCATATTTAAGATCAGCTACTTTAATTTCTGGCAGTATAATTGTTCCATCAATATTAAATGCTGTAATATAACTAGCAGTTTTTGAACCAACTTCTTCAGATTTAAGTGCTACAATAATTTTATCATTTGTACCAGGTAGAAATTTAAAACTAGAATATCCATGAGTAGGTACTATTTTGCCAATGTGTACCACCTATAAACATATAAAATTATATTAAAATTAATATTGCCATTGTATAATTTGTGTCCACAAAACAGAAAACACTAACTACCCAGTAATAGTGTATCCTATGTAATGTATATTTTGTAAACTGATTTGATAAACATAAAACTTTACTACTGGGTTATCAATTTATTTAAATTACAATAGTAATTCATATTGTGTTTTTCTACATGCAACACTACTTATTTATTTATTTATTTTTTATTAGAACTTCAATGATCTTTGTTAATAACATAATATTTGGATTAATTTTTTTAAAGTTATTTTGATGTACGAATGTAACTAATTTGGAAAATTGTCATCAGGCCATTAAATCAATGAATTTTAGTGTTTCTTGTTTATGTGGACAAGCAGTATATTACCTTAATATCATTAAAATTATTATTTGCTGATATTAACATATTTGTAGCCATGTACTCATCGTCATTGTCATTATACTGTTTTGAAGAACTTCTTCGTGGTAAAAAGAACCATCGTTCATGTATTTGACTCCATACACATGATTCATGTATCATATATCCAGGAAAATGTATATTGACTGCTTTTCGAATCGCAATATAGTTGTCTGTCCAGTTGACATGAGTTACATGACCAGATTTATTAATAATTTTTATCCACATGGGATTATTATTTATAAATTTTCCTGAAGATGATGTCCATTCTTTGCCCATACTTCCAACATATAAATCTGAATTGTGTATAGTTGCCCATTCACTTTTATATCCTGAAAATTATTTTAGCTGTTACTATCACAGTGTCACGTCACCCAATATTATTTATTACAGCTATTTTATTTGTGCAACTAAAAAAACATTATTTATTCATTTATAATAATAAATATAAAATAATCATAATTTACTTCTATCTATGTACAAGATATGCATTAAATTTTTTAAATAAAAACTATGTAATCAACTTTATTAAATTTCAAAATCATCTGAAAAAAATTATTAAGTTTCAATAAATGAAAAAAAAAAACATTCATTACACTTAAACCATTCCAATGAAATCATTATAAATCTAGTGCCTTACTTTTATGGTTATATACTGTTAAATTACTTGTTAAATGTTGACTCTATCATTATTATTAGTACATATATACAGAATGTTTTCTTTATTGGACACTTATTATTTCAAGATCTATTAATGTTTCTGAATATATTTTTCATACATAAATTTTAGTCGAAAAAAAAAATAATATTTTTTTTAATAATAACATATATTTTTAATTTTATATTCTGAAGCACAATAAAATTTTATTTAAGGTGGCTATGGTGAACAAAACGGAGTATTAAACTATTAAAGAAATCAATTAAAAATCTTTGTCCACTACTCTGATCATCTACATAGACTTTAAATATTTATAACTCATTAGTTATTACACATTTGTCTGAATTTCTATTATGTATTAAAGTATTCCAAAAATATCCTACTTTATAATATGAAATCAAAAAATAATGTTATTTTATTTTAACTGGATGGAAAATAATTTCAAAAACAATAGATTTTAAGATAATCAGTGTTGTTGATAAAAGAACCATTTAGCATGTTTTATGATGTATGGAAATTCCATAACCATGGTATGACATATTGTTAAAATCCGTGAACGATTTCTTTACCCATCTAAAATTAAGCAACCAGAATTACTAATCACTATTCAAAACATCACATATATACTATATTGTATACATAATCAACAACAATACTAACGAGACTACGTAAAAAATATATATTATTTAATTTATTATTAACTACTTATAAAAGTGTAACAAGCCATACAATGTATGGATAAAAATAAACAGAAGTAGATATTATTAAAATAAATCAGATAAATTAATTTAATTAATGCAAAACCACAGAATAAATTAAATTAATTTAATTCCATGGTAAAACTCTTGCCTTTAAAATCAGTTCCATTTCCATCCATGAGTATTATCCAGGGTAAAACAGTGTCATCTTCATTAATACTATAAACTATACCTGTCCGGTCATCAAATGAATATATTTTTCCATTAAATGTTACTAGTTCTGAAAGTTCCATTCCTCGACCTCCCATGGATATAGATGATTTTAATATTTTAGGATCTTCAAGGTCCCATACAAGTTCTATTGAGCTATTAGTTTTATACCAAATAAGAAATCCTTTTTTATAATAGCTGTACCACATATTTTTCTCAGTCTTGCTTTTAGATGCTTTATCTAAATCACTAATAATAGCAATACGAAATTTTATACCAACATTGTCAATAGAAACTGGCTGAGACAATGGATACTTTGATTTAATTAATTTATAAACAAATTTATCGTGTGGACGATTAAGGCCATAACTGACAAGTTTTGGAGCTGTATATGCCATATTATACAATACTATTAAGAATAGAATACCAATTAATGAGACAAAAATAACAAAATGTGTTTGAAAACGAATAGTAGAATTCGAAATCCTGTATGCTTGAGAAGAACTTAAACTTTGACGGAGCTCTTTCAACATGCTTGAGCTGTGATCTGAATTTTTTACATTATATATATTGAGAGTTACCTGAAAAATAACAACAAGATCTTTAGTGTTTTACAATATAATATGATTATAAACAATACTTACATAATTATGGTCTGTACTCATAATGAGCTATAACCATAATGTGTGGAAATTCAACATTGGTTACAAAATAATTACAGATGCCATGACATAAACAGATTTAGTTTAGTTGAAAACTGTAAATTAATGACATCAATACAAAAAAAAATTTCCTAAATAACAAACAAAATATTTAGCTATAGAAGTATAGACCAAAGGTAAAACAATTTTATTTACAATATTTACATATTACAAATTCTTGCTATAATCATTGGACCACGAAGTACATTGATATTTGATATGAATTTTGAATTCATTATAAATTGATAAGCACAATTTATATTTTTATCTTAAATACAATATATATATATATATGTGTGGTGTGTAAAGACATGTCGATGTTGTTTCACAGTGTGGCCAAATAAGATATTAACAATCCACTTGACTAATATTTTATCTTTGAATTTTTGTTATCAGTTATGTTATCCTTAATATTTCCTTGTCGTGTTGAGAACTTCTGAGACGTTGAGTGTAAGTTCACTTGAGTTTCAATCTTTAATGTTTCAGACTTCAATGTTCAGTTTGAAATTTCAGTAGGATAACTAAAGATTTGAGAGGCACTGTTAAAAATATAGTCAATATAGGTATAGTTAAGTATTAGTTGTTTTCTAATATTCTTTAATAATCCTTCAAACAATTTCAAATCACTTAACATTTTCTCATGAGTGTTAGCAGCATACTAGTCACACAAAAATGTCCAACAATGACAGTAATGGAAGTTCGCCGTCTGGTAAGTAATGTTTAGTAATTTAATTAACTATGCTTTAACTAATTTACTTCAAGTAATTTAGTGTAGAATATATTTAATTATGTATTGTAAGTCTGAAATTAATTTTAGGTGCTGCAAGACCTTCTCATCCGCAGTTAGATATGCGTCAAGAAGCTGCAATAACAGGTATTTGAAGAGTTTAGTTTAACCCATCTAATAAACATAAATTTAATGTTCATTCAATTCATTATTAGAAAAAAGAAGACAGTTAAAATTAGCAATTCAAGGAACATCCGGTGCTTCATTTGGATTCAATTCTCCAATACCAAGCTTACAGTCATTAAAGTGAGAACTTTTTTAATCAAATTGTATTTTTACAAATAATTATTATCAGCAATTATAGCTTTTATGATTCAAGTTTCAACATATAATAAATGTATTTTAAGTATTTATTATTACACATTAACATAAATAATAGTGAAGAAGAGTGCTAAGAGAGGTTAAGCAATAATTATATTCATATTGCATGTATTTTATATTACCAAATGTTGTACATAAATATAATTTTTATTAAATGGTGAATAAATTTGACTATTTGATTTTAAATTTAATAATATTTACATAAATAATTGAATAAACATTTAGTTTAAATTGTAAAAATGTGTGGTGTTAAAGGTTATTTTAATTTTAATTTATCATTAAATAAGTTAAATAATTTAAATATTACTTTTTACTTTGAAGAACTAACCAAAATAAAATAAATTTTTGTTTATCATACTAATTTTACTCAAATTCTATAAATAAAAAGTATTTTAAATATTAATTTTCATTTTTTAATTATATTAGTTAATAAGTAATAAACAAATTCATCTGAGTTTTATTAATTAAATAGTAAACATATTTCACTATACATTTAAACTAGGAAGTACTATTACTGGTTAAACTTCTTAAACACAACAATATTTTACTAAATATATTCATTTCTTTCAAGTACTTTAAAATATACTATAGTTTAATAGCTTTTTAACATTTTCTTAACTATTAAAATATGTATTTAGTTAAATGATTTTATTACATCAATTTAAAATTATAATGAAAGTAGCTTTTAAGATACATGGCTGTCCAAGTGTCTTCAGTGGAAGACTTCTGAAATTTGTCCATTCTCCAAGCCACTTTTATTCAGTTATCTATTTTACTTATTGTTCAATTTTATGTAACAGATTGTAAATATAAATTAAAAAAAAAAAATGGCTGTAAAATGGATTTTATACATAATAAATGTATAGAATGGTTCTTTTATCAAACAGCACTTATTATTTCAAAATTTATAAATGTTTTTGAAAATATTCTTTTATATAATTTCCAATCAAAATAAAACTTCTTTTTATTTTAAAAAGATATTTGTTGATGTTTAACTTTTAAATGAATATATCTGTTTTTAATTTCATGTTCAAAACAGAATATTTTTTAAGGTATTTTGTTATATAAAAATTGAAAATTCAATATTTAATACTTATTGAATTCTAAATGTTTAAAGTTTTAGTGAGTTGAATGGTAAGGAATAAGTCTCAAAATGTTGGTCTTATTACTTCGTCTATCTAAGCTTTATTAAATACCTATAACCAGAACATGGATTTTTATGCAATCATATATTTTTCCTTTTTACTTTTGTGAATTTTTATCAGTTATCTGAAAGTTTTTTTTACATATTTTTGCATATTTTTACAAAATTTGAAATGCATTGCATATTAAGTAAAAAATGTTTGTTAAGCAATTAATTATAATAAGTTGTTTAACTTATGAATTTTAAATAAATAAAAAAAAAATTTCTTGCATATTTTCATGATTTTTACTTCATATTATATGGCATATTTTGATACGTTTTATGTGCATAAGAATCCATGCTCTAAGTTATAACTTATATAATTGTCCAAATTTTGATTTTTGTGTATCAAAATGCTCCAAATAGTATTTTGATTTATGATATGAAATTAAAAATATAATTATTAAAAAAAAAAAAATTTTAATTTTGACTGGATATTATTTTTGAAAAAAACAAATTTTCAAAATGTCTATAGATTTTTAAGTAATTAATGTTATTTCATAGAAGAATCACTCAAAATGTATTGGTTAATCAACCAACCAATTCTTTAATTTTTATATTAGCTACCTCTAATTTAAATAGCTGCATTTGTTGAAAGATTTTGAATAATTATCAAAATAAACAGTTATACAGATTGGTAGTCCAATGATGCTGAAATGTTTTCCTGGTACTAAGTAAAAAATATTGTATTGGTGCATAAAGGCATCAATAGCATTGAATATATATATTAATTTATTTTCAATAAGTTTTAACATTAATCAAATTTTCATTATGCAACATGCTGATATATTTTAATATAAAAAATTAATTAACATAATTGTATAAATTAAATAATAATTTTGTTTTCTTATTTATATATTGTGTTTTAAAATTTATCGACATATTACAAGTTTGATATTACAAATATTTATATTGCTTATAATTTGTGAAAATATCTGTTCAATAAAACACAATAAGTATTTTATTAAATAATAAAGTATAATAAAGTTTATATGTAAATGTTAATCTTTGTCATAAGTCTTCATTATATGTAATTTGGAGTTATATAATATATTAAACTAAATATCTTTTGGCAATAACATAAATTAAATTTTATATATTAATTATTTTCAGATTTGAAGATGATAATAAATTATTAAGCAATGGATCAACATCAAAACAACCAAATTTACCTAGAGTACGGTTATCTAATACTGAAACAATGAGTGAAAAGTCACGGTAAGTTTAATTTTTTTATTTTAGATCCTTAGCAGATCTTTATATATTAGTTTTAAAATAATGTGTGTTTTTATTTTTTTATTTTTTGTGCCTGTCAATCTATCTTAAACTTGGATGATGATTTCTGGTAGCAAATTTGATTTAGTTGGTACTTTTGAGCATCAAAAGTAGAGCTAAAAATTCACTTTAATTTTCAAAATAAATATCAAAAACCTTATGCCAAATAAAAATACTTGCACAATACTTGATTTGACAAAATACATTTTATTTTTCTAATTCAGTAACCTTGAATATTGTATAAAAATGTCTTATATGTTGTCCATTCATCAATTAAAAATATTGAAAGTACATAGGAACATATTTTTATATTTCAGCTCATTTTCTAAAATTAGGATAATGTATCCCTTTCAAATATCAAAAAAAGATTTAAAATTTGAATAATATATATATTTAGGTTTTATTACATGCAACATAATTATATTTTAAGAAAAAATTTGTTAATTGCAACATTTTTATTCACTTACTGTTTTATTAATATGATATGTATTCAAATAATAAATATCCTTAGTTATTAGCTATTTAAACAATATAGAAGTGGTTAAAATATACTCCCATTATAAAAATACCAGTTTAAATTAAATAAAAATTAATTTTTAACTTGTTAAAAGCAAAAACACGAAGACTAAATAAATCTGTTAAATAAAAATATATAAGTAGCATGAAAAAATTAAAATTTAAACCCAAATAATTAGGTAGGTGTAAGGTTTTTAAAATAATATTAATACATTTTATCTTTACTAAAATATAAACTAAGTATGACATTGCAATAAAAATGTATTTGAATAACCATTAACCAATATTAATTGTTGAAAACAATATTATTTTACTAAATTCAATCAAAAATATTATTTTCTTTAGTTTGATATTTTGTAGATCACATTAAATTACACTTTTAAAATTGACCTAAAAATGAAATATTAATACTGAATATAACTTTTAAATTGTTCACTTATTTTATTAGTTTTTAAACTTATAAATCTGGAAATAATCAAACATATTGAAGGATAATTATTTACTTAATACTGATTACTGATTAGCTTAATAAAACTGAAATATAAATGTAATGAATTAAGTCATCCATACGCTAGATCTAAACTGATCAAACTGAAAAATAACCAAGAGTTGATTTCATAATTTATGTGTGATTACATACACCTTTACTGAAGTGATTATCAAACTCATATTTTAGACCAGTTAAACTTTTAACTGATCAAACATGTTTGAATTTATGGCCCAAAAATAAGTAATTTTTTAAACATTTGAATACATTAATAAATGTTATTACACAAACTAATACAAATTAAAGTAATAAATTTATTCTACTATACATGAGTTACAGCTAATTTTTCTTCGGACTCAATACAGCATCTGAAATTTTAATCAAATTGTCTTTGATATTTAAAAATTTAGTCAATATAGTGGTTATGTTAATATGAAAGTAGTCATAAAAATTTTACTAAAATGTATAAACCTAAAACCTTTTCTGTGATTTAATAATGAGTCTCTTTAATAAAAAAGATTCTTGTTTGTTATTTTAAAAGTTTCTAGTCGGTATTATCATGTCATTATTTAATAATCTATTTATCTTTTTATTAATTTGAGATAATAAATGATACTATATCTAAGAAAATTTAGACCAAATATTTTTCAGTTTATGTAGTCTTGCAGAATTGTGTATAGTAATGCTCAGTTTTGGTTATTTTATGTAGACATTATCATCATAAGCAAATAGCATTCAAATCATTAAAAAAAAAGAAATTTAGTATGTCTCATTTTTAACAGAATATTTTTATCAGCTGTTTTTTATTCTGAAGCTATAAATAACCATTATTGGATTCAATATTAAATATTAGTTTATTACCAATTAAAAACTTGATAAAATTTCACATGATAAAGTATTCTCAACAGTTACAAATTAAATAATTTGGTCAGAAAGTTAAATAGTAAGTTGTTGCTTTAATTTTGTTAAGCTAGGCATAGTATTTTATAGTTAAAAAAAAATATATTTATTAATATACAATGAACATTTTAACATAAAGAGTATTTTTTAAATTATTCTTAAATACCTATTTGTATATAAAATTAAGTTCAAATAAGTTAACTATTGCTAATTTTAATGAAATAGTACTTAGGTTACTATGTTTTTTTTATTAGAGGATTATATACCTACCTTAAATTAAAAATACAGTTAATGTTGGTTAACAATTATATTTTTATTTTAAAATATTGGTATTATAAAGATATTTTCTTTATGTATATAGATACAGATCCATAGAACGTACTAAATTACGGTAAGTTGATAAAAAAAAAAGCAATGAAAAACCTTTTTTTGAATATAATATTCTCATACATATTATGTAAATAAAATCTGTATTATTTAAATTATATTTTAACCATAAAAAATTTAATCTTTGATTGTTGTGGAAATCTTTTTATTTTTATTACAGTTGAGTAAAAAAAAAAAATAACTTTTACTTATAAAATTATTTATACCTTACTTAAAATTTTTTATAATTTAGAACTTATTTATAAATTTATTTTAAAATATATTTTTTAAGTATAATTGTAAAGATTATAGTTTGCATAATATTATGTATGATTGAATATATTTCTTATAAGGTTATATCAATAAAGATTGAGAGTACAATTTTGGTAAATAATATTTTTATTTTTTCAATATCAATAATCAAGATTAAAAAAATTTAATTTTTTAAATTTCTTAAATAATTTACTAATTATACTAATAACAAGAAAATTAAATTAATTGAAAAATGCTTTTTTTTATACATTAAACTTTTGTTTTAGTATAAATAACTAATAAATAAAAAAAAACCAAAAGATACCTAGGTATATTAGTTGTTAAAAAAAAAAAAAAAAATTTATGTTCGCATTTATTATTTCAGTTTGTCAAACATACAATATGGCAAATTTTGTTCTGTAAAACCAATTTTTTTTTCATGTTTAGTTTTAATATAATGTGGAATGTAAGAACATTATCTGTGTCAAGCGTTTGGCTATTTTTGATGTTTTAATTTTAAAACTAAGTATGAGCATTTTTTAACTTTAAATATTTACATTTCGCATAACTTGCATACAAAATATTGAAAACATGTTGAGGCTTAACACATGCAATGTTCTTAATTTTAACTTTGATAGTAGATCAATTATCTCTAATATTAAAGATAAAAAAAACAAAATTGGTTCTACTATAAACACAATTTTTTTATGTTGTATCTTTATAACACGAAAACAACACATGTAGATATAGTGTCCTCTTAATTATTAACAATTAAAATTTTTGAAAGTTAATTAACCAAACTGAGAGTGCTTTATTACTTTTATGCTATTTTTACAAAAATTTCATAAACATGTAACATTATGGATAACTTTTTTTGTTTTTCTGATTTCTTTAAAAATGCATATTTTATCAATTATAATTAGACCTACATTTTGGCGTTTTTGTTTAGTAACCAGTGATTAATGGTTATAGAAGAGAAATGTATTCTGTAAGGTATTTTAATTTTTAAACTACATATTAAATTAACTTGTTAAGTTTTTTACATCATTACAAGAGCTTTGTAGACTTAATTATGCAAAAACACCTGATAATCCATTATACAAATTTAAAATCATGCAGTTATGGCTAAAACTTAAAACTTTTGATGTTAGTACTAAAAAACAGCTATTACTTTTAAAAATGGACAGGAAAAAAATGAAATTATTATTTACTTAAATATTTTTTAATAAAAAAGAAAAAAAAGAACATAATTCAATAAATATATATATATATATTAACAAACGAGCGTTAGAAAAATACAAATAATCAAATCAGAAAAAAGAACTGAATTTAACACGCCTAATTATTGAAGGACACGCCCGACTAACTTATAGATGCCTAATAAGTAATAACTAATGAGCAAAGAGGATCATTAGCACAACCTATAGAGTTCCGCTCTTAATGAAATTCCTACTTGTCGAATTCAGACAAACAAGCAGCCAGAAGCATGCATAATATCACCGAATTCTTTCACCAATCTTTCGGCCAAACCGAAATATTCGTTAAAAACACACTTCGATTTATAAAAAAAGTTTAAGTTATCTTGTCGTATGCACTCTACAACAATATTTAGATTTTAAACAATATATTCTCGTAACAAGTAGATGATGTCAAAGTGGTTTTAATGACAAACATAAATTCTTAGAAATAAGTAATATACTATTAAAAATTATCATATACTATCAACGCGCCGTTTGTCGTCGTCTCGTTATTCGTTTCATTATCATTAATAATTTAAAAAAAAAAACTAAAACTAAAATAGATAAATATTAAAATACTTATGCCGTATCTCTCAGAAATGCGTTAAATGCGTCACTTTTATTCATACAATCATACCTCTCCACCACGTTTCAATAAGTTATCTGTAATTATTATATATATTATATATATTATAATATTATACTCTAGGAAGTAAATCTAGAGTTGTACCACACAATTTTCACAATTTTTAGCCTCCGAGGACGCCATAAACTTAATCCTTTGGATATGTATGTTTGGTCCGGAAGTCCATTATACCCTGAACAACCATCGGAATGTATTATAACTAGAAATTACCCCTCTTTGTATAATTTCCTATAATGTTGTTTGTCTTATTTTTGGACAATAAAATATCTTATTTATTTTCGCTCAAGCCGATGAATCATTAAACAATTTTCCATGGTTTCTTGATCCGTTTTCTAGGATATAAACATTTTCCGAATCGTCGACGTTAAGATTTCCAGCTGGTAAATTTCCAAGTTAAATTGTCCTTTATTATTTTTTCTCAATTCTCTTAATAAACATTCGTCAACTTAGATAACTTGGGTCTTCCAAATTTATTTCGATTTTCAAACATTCTGTCAGGCTTATTACGAAATAAGTTCATCCAATGACATGCTTTATGATCTGAACTACCGGTTAAGTCATAATAATTGTAGTCTGTTTTATTTTTAGATACCAATAGGTAATTGTTCTAATTGTGCATTGGTGTTCAATCCACTATTGTTACGGCTATTTCTGCCAATTTACGATCAAAAAGTTTTTTTCTTTATATATATATAGATAATTAATATTATATCTGAAATATTAAATAATATCTACGTTTCCAAACTTATACTTAACACCCTTTCTTTTTACACTCCGACAACTTCCTTTTTTTATATCACATTTGATTTCACTATTACATCTATTGCGCAATATATTTTCTATATTAACTAAAAGACTTTTTTTAATTAAAAAAAAATAGCAATAAATTCTTCGTTTTGTATTATATTATGTAGGTAATTCTTTTGCAAAAATTTTGAAACATGACATGAAAATATGAACCTGCGTATAAACTCAAAAATTATCGCCCAATAACTAAATAAACGATCAAAAAGTATATCATACCAGAAAAGAGAGTGTTAATCTTTATAATCATTAAGTCACAATAATAGAGATATAAATTTGGTAGTAGAACGCACACGACAAGATAGTTAAAATTAAGTAAATACCCATAATATTTAACTCAAATTTTTCATTTTGAATTCTAATAAATCTTATGGAAAAAATTAAATTGTAATTTTTTTTTTTTTTTTGTTTTCTTCTGTAAACATTAAAATATTTATCATTTTTTATAATGCTTCTTCAAAATTATTAGTAAAGAAATTGTACAATCAATATCATTGGACTATTAGATAACAATAATACATATTTGTTTACAATCATTTTTTAAGTATCCACTTTTGTAACAAAACATGAATATGTTTTTTTATAAAACCCAAAATCTTGGTTAAAACTAATAAGTTAAATAGATGTCTCTATTCTTTCATGGTTATAATATTGATATTTTATTATAATTATAAAAAACTGTAAAAATTATATCAGGTAACAATTTAATATTATCAAAAGATATGTATATAACTAATAATTTTTAAAATTTTTAAAATTATTGGCCCCTATTATGCCGTGCTTAGGATCTGTGTCTAATTGATTGAGACAACGTAGTGCATAATTAATAATATTACTAAAATATTTACTTGTATTTGAGCTTATTAAGAATCATTGTTTTTTTTTAATTTAAATGTTGAAGATTAATAATTATACATTAATGTTTCAAAACAATATACTTCATTTTTTTATTATTATTTTTTTTTTCATATATACATAGAGAAAGACTAAAAATATGTCAAACAATACAATCCACTGGAAAACTACAACTTTCTGAGAACAAGGTTGTTTCTTTTAAAATTAATAATGTACAATACTTGCATACTTAATACTTATTATGTATAATTTTATTTTTAAGGTGTATGATTTTACATCAGATGATTTACAAGATTTAGGAGAGATTGGCCGAGGTGGTTTTGGAACTGTGAACAAAATGTTACATCGTAGTAGTGATACAGTAATGGCTGTTAAGGTATTTTAAATTATTAAAATATTTCTTGTATAACTTAAACATAATCATTCACGAACTGCTGGTGGAGAGAGACAGCATTTTTGCAACAACTATCAATTATTACTTATTAGTCTATTTTTAAAGATAATTTATTATAAAAAAAAAAAAGATGAGCTTATAAATGAACAGCATTTTTGTGTGCATACTCATAAATATAAATATACACCTAAATTAAAATTTTAATAATTTTTATGAATTGAATTTATTTTATTATTAGAGGATAAGGTCTACTGTTGATGAAAATGAACAAAAACAATTACTAATGGATTTGGATGTTGTGATGAAATCTAATGAATGTCCTTACATTGTACAATTTTATGGAGCACTTTTTAAAGAAGTATTTTAAATTATTTTAATTTTAATTTTAATATGTATTAATATTATGTATTGTCTTAAATAGGGGGATTGTTGGATTTGTATGGAACTTATGGATACGTCATTGGATAAATTCTATAAGTATACCTATGAAAAATTAAATCAACGAATACCAGAAAATATATTAGGAAAAATAACTGTTGCGGTAAATTTTAAGGATATGTATTATGTTATTTTTTGCATATTATTTTTAATGATAATGTATCAACAAAATGAAATTTCTTAAGAATGATAAATGTGTTAAATATTTTGTTTAAATTTACCTTTTAAAAAAATATCATTTATTTTATAAACATAAATTTAATCTAAATAATATCAGGAATTTTTTTTTTTTATTCTTAACATTTTAACTTACACAAATAAAAATTTTAATTAAAACTATAAATGAATTTACTCGTAGTTAATGAAATGGTTTACCAATAAGTATGAGTCAAATCATTATTATTCAATAATAAAAAATTGATTTAAAATAATTATCTAAAATAAAATTGAATTTTCTGTTGGAACGACTTTCTATTTAAAAATTCTCTATTGCTATAAAAAATTATGAAATATTTTTTTTTATTTGAAAATAAATTATGTTGATCTATAATCATTAAATTTATCTTGCATACAACAACATAATTTTTAATATGGAATTAGTTTTATTAAAAATTAAATATATTGTTATTAAATACACAATATTAAATATCCTTATACATTTCAGACTGTAAAAGCATTGAATTATCTTAAAGAAAAATTGAAAATCATTCACCGTGATGTTAAGCCTAGTAACATCCTATTGGATTCTCGAGGAAATATAAAATTATGTGATTTTGGTATTTCAGGGCAGTTAGTGGATTCTATAGCAAAAACTAGAGATGCTGGCTGCCGCCCTTATATGGCAGTATGTTTAATTGAAGTTATTCATTTAAAAATAGTTTGTGATATAAATCTATTTAACTTTAGCCGGAAAGAATTGATCCAGTTCGTGGTCGAGGAGGTTATGATGTCCGTTCAGATGTTTGGTCCTTAGGTATCACTCTAGTAGAAGTTGCTACTGGGAGGTTTCCATATCCAAGATGGAGTTCTGTTTTTGAACAATTGTGTCAGGTTGTTCAAGGAGATCCACCTAGATTACAGACTTCTAACAATTTTTCTCCTAATTTTGTGAATTTCGTAAATACTTGGTAATTAAAAATAAATTGTAGATAATAATCTTAAGTAATTATTAATATGTATAAATTTTTTATTTGTAGTTTGATAAAAGAAGAAAATCAAAGGCCTAAGTACAACAAACTTCTAGAACACCCATTTATTAAACGCAGTGATGCTGAAAGCGTTGATGTAGCTTCTTATATTAGTGAAATAATGGCTGCAATGGAAAATGATGGTGCATTTATGTACACAATGAATGACCCTTGATAGTATTTTTAATATTGTTAAAAAGTACACAGTCCATTAGTACTTAATAAAAATAAGATTTATTTAGTTTCAATCAACTTATCCTGTCAGTTGTAATTAATTTGGTCCAATATTGCCTTGAAGATTTATTTTTTCTAAAAGTTATAACAAGCTCCCAACAATTTTTTTAATAGTTTTTGACTGGAGTTTTTGCTTTCCAAAAAAATCAGTTTAACAGCAAAGTGACATATTATTATTATTATTTGTATTATTATTATTATTATTATTATTATTATTTTTATTATTGTTGTTGTTTTAATACGAACTGAGTAACATAAAATAGCAGTTTCTTTTTGTCCTACAAAAATTGTGATGACCTGTTTTTCAATTATTTTCTATCAGTTTAAATTAACCTTATGGAGGGTAACCATTTTGCATACAAATCTAGTTTAGAAATAAGTTACTTACACAAATACTATATGTATCTGTAGTATGAAAGATATGATTATCTTATAGATTTTTGTGATTGGACTAAAAGTTCTAAGTTCTACCTAATGGTTGTTTAGTAAATCTAATAACGTCACATATGTCAAAGTTTTATTATTAGCAAAAAATAATTTAAGTATAACCAAAATGATTAAATTGATATATTTGATTAAACAAATTTTTATAAAATGATTTGTGTATGTATTGTATTTTTACATAGTTTTGCTTTTAGTAAACTTATAATAAATTGAACTTGTCTTACACAAGTCCACATAGTGCCTTTTTAGACACATTTTGTACACAAGTTCCGCCAAAATTGGGCCCAAAATATAATTTAAGATATATAAAAAAGTAACACTTTGTTTCTAGTTTTGTACCCACTACTGTGATAATTAATGTGTTTTGCAAAATTATCTTCTCTTGTGTATACAAATTATGTTTTAAATTTATGTAATCATGTATTATATTTTAATTGAGTTATTATTTTTCTGTTTAAACTCAAAAACATCTAATAGTTTTATTCCATTTTTATATTTAAGTATTGGTTATAACTGTTTAAAAACATTGACTCCTTCTAAATGTATATATTTAAGTAAAAATGTCTAATAAACTAAAAATATTTTTGTTTAAATTAAAATTTATACTAATAGATGTTAGTTTTATTAAATACTAAGACTTAAAAAATATGTCAATGTTATTAAATGGTTGAAATTAATACGAATCAGTTTTTGCAAAATATTAGTGTAATTAAATTGTATTAACAATTGTAGGCTATTATATTTTTGTCATTAATTTTGTATAATTATATCAAATACTAAAATAAAAAAACCAACACGAAATACATAATAGGTAAATTTATTGTAACTGTAATTTTTTTTTCTACATAATAATTAATTTGTCATTGATTAAATTTAAAATGATTAGTTCAAACTGACTTTCTGGTATTTATTTTGTGTTAAAAAATGTATTACATTAGTGTGTATTACAGTAGTACTGTTCTAAAATAAATTTATTATAAAAAATAAATGAGAATAGATTTATTTGATAACATAAAGTATGGCCAAGGCTGGACACATTAATTCGTTCTTTCAATCTGTTATCTTAAGTTAATTTAAAAAAAGTAACTTAAATTAGTTTAGCATCAGTTACACTTTCTTTTTTTTCATGGATAAATGTACAAACACCTTTTTAAAGCTTAAAAAAATAACATAGTTATATGATATTGGTTTTACAAATTAAAACTTAATTGCTGTAGGTAGGTTCTTCCTTAATTTAAAAAATGATAAAATCTAATGAAAAAAATGTCTCGAATTGTTGATGCCCAGCCTTGAATATAGATATATTATTATTATATCAAATACTTTAGTGACAATCAAGGCTTAGCAATTAAAAATTGTTATTAATCACAGCCTATTTTAAAATCAAAAGAAACAATAATTATATATTTATAAATTATAAAAAATAAAATTACAACGCATAAAGTATCACTGCTATATTGTTAAAGTACTTTTTCAATTTATTTTATTGTAAACATCAATTCAATTATTTTTAGAATCTAATTAATATAATGTACTCATTATTTAAAATAAAATGTATTAATCTAAATTTTATTTTTTACATTGTCGACTATATTAAACCTTAGTGTGTTGGAAATTTTATTTTCCCTGTAAATAATAAGTGTTATTTGTAATAGTGTTGTCATAGTAAAATCTATAACAGAAATAATACTTGATATTAACCTATTTTTTGATTTTAAAGGATTTTTCATTATAAAGGACAGAGATGGGCAACTCAACATTACTAGAGGGTCAATTTTTAGAAAATTTAATTTTAGCTGCCAGAGCATAGAAAGCAAAATGAAAAAAAAAGGTCATTAAAAAAAAAAACATTTTAATTAGCATATATTGTTTATAATGTGAATTATTAATTTGAAAAAATGTTATGATGTAATTTGAAAATACAACATGGGTCAAATAAAGGTTCATTGCTCACCCCTAATATAGGACTGTTGTTATTATTTGTTATAATGATATTTCCATTTAATTGTGAGTCTGTTAAGGGTAGGTTCTACTGCATGATTTTAGCAAAAGATTATTATAAATAATACTTGTCATAACTTAAATTATTGTAATTAACTGCCAAATAATTGAATTATCTGCATAACAATATATATAATTAATTTTATACATATTCTGTTTTAAAGTTAGAATATGTTGAGTACTTTATGGTACACAATGTTTGAAATTGTTGTTTAAACAATAGTAAAATAATATGTATTTTTTCAGATAGCTTATAGATTTATTTTCTTGGGATAAACAAATACATAAGAAATTACCAGTGCTTCCAAATGACTAATATACAATTTTTAAATTATAATAATTTAAAAATGTAGGCACTATACTAATAAAGAAATTGCATATCATTATATTGTTACTCTTTGTATACTATTATACGAATAGGTAATATAAAATTAATCATTTATATTCTATAAGTAACTAAATATTTGTTTTTTGTAATTTCAGTCAAGAAAATTCAGAAATAAACTACAACAAAGTTATTAAAGGAAAATATGATTAAGGTTCTTCATGATTCATGACTGCTATTTGTTTTGCACAGAACTGGTATCTTGTTTTTTGAAATAAAATATATAACCTGACACATAAAAATAAAAGTTAAGAATATTTCAAAAAATGTTTGAGTGTTTGAGCATTTTAAAAAGCTTAATCCGAAATAATATTTTTGTAGTTTATAATGTTATGCATGATCAATATGAGCAAAACTAAAATTTTAAAAAAATGTATACAATATTTATTTCAAATTTTTTATCATTCTTACATCTTATATATTTTTTAAAATGTTAAACAGTAATTTATAATAATCACTGGCATTTCGTCTTATTACATAAAGAAATTAAGATTTGATACAAAATACAATTTAGCATACATTTTTTAGTCAAACTCAATATATACAAGATTTATTATAAAATTGGTTTCCTATATTTACATTGAATCCAAACACGATACATTTTTAACTGTTTTCCTCTATTTACTTGCATACGACGATCAACAATATTTTGAACTTGTTCAAAACCGGCTTCTACAAACAATTGTTTGACATCATCTAAAAGAAAAGTTTAGAAAAATAGTTTATTTTAATAGCATAAATCAGGAAAAAATATAATAAACATCAGATAAAATATCAATGTTTTCCAAAGTTTAAAAAACCAATTTTAAATTCTAATAATTAATATTGAGTGAAATAATAACAGTGAAGTAACAGTAATTGAGATCAGTATTCATTTTAACAATTTGAGTTTTGAAATTAAGACTTATTCAATTGCAATTTCAATGTTGATAAATTAAAAAATTCTGGTCTTGCTCAAGTAATTAAAAACCTATTTATATTTCTTTTTTAAATTATTCCAAATAGTTAATAATTGTAACTTTACCTTGGGTAAAAAAATATACCAATGTCCCATCACCTCTACTATAATAATTTTCTGATATGCATCTTCCTTCTTTAAACCTTAGCTGTGCCATGTCGTATCTACCATAATCGCGAAATAATACCATACCTCCTGGTTTCAAGTACTGATAAAATTTACTTACCACATGTTTTAATCTGCAACTCAATAATTTTAAATTATAACAAGTATAATAGAATATTTCATTAAATCAATTTATATTATATAATACTTTTCAGGTTGTATAGCGGAAAGAACAAAAACCAACAATATAACATCCAAACTTTCCAAAGCAAATGGAGGATCCCATTCATTATTGGTTATATCACATACAAATGCTGTACAATATTCTTTATTGTATTGTGAATTTTCTTTTAAGATTTTTATGGCGTTTGAAGAAAAATCACAACAGTACACATGTACATTGCTATCTGCACAGTGTGATAATATAGGAAAGACCGAATTTCCAACTCCACATCCCACTTCTAGAATAGAACTTGGTTTTTCATTTTTAAGTGATGTTATTTCTGGAAATTCAGTGAACAACCAACATCTGTTCTTAAAAAACCTAAAAATAAAGTATTTGTTATAAATTATATTAAAAAACTGCCCTATTTATATGAAATACAAAATAGTCAAAACACATAAATTAAGTAAATAATATATATGGTATATATAGGGTGTTTCATTAAGAACGCCGGATTTAATTTCGTTATTACTTTAGTAATATTAAATATTAAGAACAAAACAATTATATGAACATGAAGTATACACACTCTGATTTATGTATGGAATATAATATCTAGCAATGTCCACCTCTGCTTCGCTGGCAAGCTTCAGTTCTGGCCACAAAATTGCCTATCACACGCTGATACATATCCTGGTTTAGTTCACCAATAACATGACGAATTTCATCCTTAAGTTCTTCAATGGTTCATAGTTTATTTTCATAGACGTGACTTTAACGTAACTCCAAAGAAAGAAGTCCAGTGGGGTTAAGTCACATGACCTTGGAGGTCATTATGGAATGCCAAATCGGGCGTTTTTAATGAAACGCCGGATTTAAATTGCCCAGTAATTTTCAGGTCATGTGACTTAACCCCACTGGACTTCTTTCTTTAGGGTTACGTTAAAGTCACGTCTATGAAAATAAACCATGAACCATTAAAGAACTTAAGGATGAAATTCGTCATATAATTGGTGAACTAAACCAGGATATGTGTCAGCGTGTGATAGGCAATTTTGAGGCCAGAACTGAAGCTTGCCAGCGAATCAGAGGTGGACATATGCTAGATATTATATTCCATACATAAATCGGAGTGTGTATACTTCATGCTCATATAATTGTTTCGTTCTTAATATTTAATATTAATAAAGTAATAATGAAATTAAATCCGGCGTTCTAAATGAAACACCCTATACAAACTAAAAAATATAAGTATTTATCAATTTTACCATATTTGTGTCAACAATATACATTCTTAAAACAATTATTACTTAACCAGAAAGAATTATACTGAAAAACAGATAATATAATCATTATAAACAATATAAAAGAGATGAAAACTAACACTAACTCGTGGCACATTTGAAGGGGGAATTGAAATATACACATAAAAAAAAGTAAAAATATCTATATTTACATAAATAATACATACTTTTCTTGGTGGATAGAATAAAACTTATCCCAATATTCATCAGCATTCTCTTCTAAATCG